AGAGCATAGTTTTAAAACTAATAGTTCAATGTACGACACTACCGTATAGCAATTTGGGTGTTTTCTTTCCAATTTTGCAAAAGCTCTTTTTTATTTTTCCATCTTGTTTACACCTGGGACATGAGTCATGAAGCAGCTGATAACTGCTGTGAAAACTCCAATAGGCTGTTATATTGCGGTTAAAACGTAAAAATAATATGACTACGGTTGGAATACTCCACATGTCTTGATTTTATTTTTGATTTATTTTTACTTATTCTGATTATGAACTTATTCAGGTTAAGTTTATCAGAAAATGCAGTTTGCATGTAAATGTCTTTATAAGACTATTGTTTAAATCAAGTTAATATCAGAATACTGGTGTAACATCGTCACCGTTATATTGTTATATACAGTATTGCTCATTTGTTATGCTATCAACTATTAGCAGCATTTAAATGTTATACCTGTTCAAGGAGGAAATGTACTTCAACATTATACTTATGTATACAGTATTAAACTATATGTATTTCATTGCTTTCCTTTTAGCCGTAGTAACATATGCCTCTCACTTATCCATCAGAGTTGTGTACACAGTCTGGAGTCAAGCCTCCAACCCCTGATTGGAGGTTAAAGTGATTATTGGATGGCCTGCTCCATCTCCAGAAGCCACAACATGACACAAGCCACCAATCACAGCTGAATACATTTAATTATCTTTGGGGTTTTGTACTGTTGTTTTCACAAAACAAGTATTTTCACTGCATCACATTGGGCTCTCGTTCCTAATTTGTGACATTTTATAGGTTGAATGTGTGGTGGAAATTTATCTCGAGATGCGAAATAAAGAGTTTCTCAGACCGGAGTTGTCTTTGGGTCATTTAATAGAAAGCTCTGCAGAGGGTTGCACACTCAGCATGAATGCTCAAAGTGGAACAACCCTGAATAGGGAGAGAAGAAGGTTTTTATACAGTCAGGTAAACAGGAAACATAAGAGACAACTGTTTCTGAGTAATAGCATGAAAGCTGAAGCCACCTGTCGTCTAGTTGAAACCGGAAGCTGTCTGCTTTTGCTTCTGCGTGAAAGAAGAAGTTTGCTCCTGCACAGATCAGGGTCAACAAGATCTTCATCATCAAGAAAGGACATAAACTCTGAGGTTACATCTGCCAAGTGCATAGCAACAGTCATGGCATTGGATAGTTAAGGGTAAAACAGTAAAAGGTGTCTTTCTAGTTTTGAATGGTCCGTCTGCACGTACGCCAGACAGTTCCTCTTATGCCAGCACAGTTATGTTTCTATATGAGTTATTGTTGAACACAGCACATGAGCATTGATCAGACATAGAAAACAGTTCAAGCTATGGTCGTATGCAAGTTTTCCATTACAAATGATTATTTAATTATTCTCACAATCAAAGAAATATTAAACACATTATTTCGTTATTATGAAGATGAAGTATTTAAAGTGTCCTTCTGTGGTAGGAAATAAGTCAGTTAAGTCAGTTCCCTCTTCTCAACTAACGTTTCAGTGGCTCGCACACACAAAACGTGGCACGTGAGAGGCAGGTCAGCATAGTTAGATATCGTAGTTTTTACAATTCTTACGGTTATGAAATCGTGACATTATCAAATTGCGGTTATCGTAAAACCGGTTAATCCCGACATCCCTAGTCCAGACTAATCTGTTCCATCATTTTCGTTTCAGTCTGTAGACATTCTCCGTCCCAAACCGTTCAGCCATGGGAACTCTCTGGGAAATGTGTAGCTCAGCAGGATTTCACAGTGCCACCCACAACTGAAGGCCTCTAATTAAGAAGTCATTCTGACTTTCAAATGTTACCCCCGAGATGCAAATATAGTCCTTCGAGTGCTGAAATAGAAACTAAATGTATGATGTAATTACACATTTTGCTGAAAAAAAGAAAGCTTCTCACTTTCCTCAGTTTTAGCATAAATACACTTCTTGTCTACCGGTTTATTAGTGCAGGAGCCATAATGAATAAATATTGCTGGTATTCCTGAAGTGAGGAAAAGAAAAGTGAATCTCTGCTGGATAAGATTTAAGACCTGCTGCTCCTAACACTTAACCTTTGACCCTGAACTTTAGGGTAAAAGCTATTTATGGTTAATGTGAAGCTGCGGAGTTACAACAAAGCTAAAGAAGCTTATGATGAACATCAAACACAAACAGGAGAGGAAAAACAGAAATATTATTATTATAATATCATTATTCCCCAAGTCCATTTAACTAAATAGCTGGTCGATAGTTGGTGCATCTCACCTGTTTCTGAATTCTGGTCCAAGTTGTTCCTTTTTCACTGAAATGTGTTGCACGTTTCTTTCAAATTAACCCAAACACAGGAGCCAAAGTCTCCTTTACTATATGTTACATTCAAATATTCATTCCGATATCAACCTACAGTCAGCAGCGGATTTACAAATAGTCGGATGGCATCTTGCCGGAGGTGGCATTGGGTGCAGTGGAATAGTTTGTGATCTCGACAGATATCTGCCTGCTCAGAAGATCTGACAGTAAGACGTAGGAGATGGAGAGTGGGTTGGGGATAGGTTACTGTGGTCAAGCCGTCATTCCTATCTCCGTGGTCAAACGGGCCGCACCTAAATTTGGAGTGTGTCAGTATTCTGACCTTATGGTACATGTTGAAACAGCCCAGTGTGAGCTGACATGAGTGACTGTCCTTGTTCACTGTTGCAGTGTCAGAAACTCACCCGAAGAGAGGGAATGAAAATCCCAGCATATGCAATCGAATTTTTATAAATTGGCAATCAGACATAGTTGATTATTCACAAGCAACCTTGTTTTCAAAATAAAATGTTTTACACTGAGTATATACAAACTAGGACATAACATGGAGGTATGATTGGATAATGTTTGCCCAGGGAGAGGTACTTGCAGTGTCAACCAAAAAACAATCTGAGAAGAAAAGTGAAAGGCAAATGTGTGTTCAGACAGAAGTGAAGTAAAACTGCATGTTTATGTTCAGGAATCTTAAACACAAATCCTCCAGTCTCTCTTAATCCTCACTTCTCTCATCTTTGTACACATATCAAGTGGATACATTAATGGCCCGGGTTAACCAACATCTCCCAAATAAGTTGTCATGTAATCCTGCCCTGTTCAAATTTGCATCTGATCATGGATTTCCATTTATTGTGTGTGTATCTAGGTTGCCTCATGGCCTGTTAGAACACACAGAGGGTGAATCTATGGTGATTTATACTGAAGCATGTGGTTTCAAGAACAAGGGGACTTGTTGTTGCTATTAAGAGACACACTGTAAATCAGAGAGAACAGTGTTTGAGAGGCACAGACCTGCTGTATATCTGAGGCAAAAAAGATAACGGTGATGATAGTGGTCATGAAACATGAGACTGAGGACACACACAAACACAGACATGATTTTCACTCTCTCACAGTGTGAGGACTGGCCACGTCCCAGCTTCATATCAGTGTCTTCACAACTAATCACACTTCAGATTACACTAGCTTTGAAAAATGTGGCTGGAGAGCGTATAACTCATTACATAAGGTTTAGCGTGTTCCAGTACAAGCATACAGTCTTCTCTTTATTTGGAAAGCCTGCGCCTGGGCGCATGGAGCTGTGTTTTCATTCCCTGTCTCATGACGGGATCTGACTATTTATGAGCTGAAAGTCCAGGTGCTCTCCCCTGTTGACCCTTATTTGTACACCCAGTTGGAGTGTGTAGAGAGCGCTGGAGAACAGTGCGGGGAACTTTATGGAAATTCTGTAAATTGAACAACTTCTGTAATCCTGTACGACTAGATTTTTATGAATTTGTCTAAACTCTAACCCACATATAGCACTAATAAATGGAAATGTCAGGCTGCTGTTTCTTTGTTGTTGCTGGCAGCAGTTTGTCAGTCCTTAAGGAACTAGTCATAACAATATAAGAGAACTCTAACTTGGTGTTTTGTTCTGTTGCTGCATTGTGTGTATATACATTTATATATATGTAGAATTATTTTCTATCATCCATAAAGTTGTTACCATCCATACAGTCAGTCAGACCTTGTTTGAGCTGTTACTTGAGTGGTGCATGCACATACAAGTGGCATGCAATGCTATTCACTTGTCACTCAAAATCTGTTGCTTGTGAGAGCGATATTTGTGCGTGTGCAACCCTGCTACCGCCATAGATTGAATTCATTCTGTGGGAAATGCTATCGAGAAAGGAAAACTACATTCTTGGATCACTCCATTTATTTGGATCCACACCAAAATTGATATTTTGTGTAAAACCGTCCTGTAGCTTTTTTGCAAACCAAACAAATATATAGCCTCTTTGGCAGAAAGATAAATGTTTCCACAAATATTGAATTAAACGTGGTACTACTGTACATTCTTCCTCAAGTGTTATAACCTTGGTGATCTCTTGACTTCCACAATCATCGGATCATAATTCCAATTAGCCCAGTGTTAGATTATGACCAATAATTAGCTTCCATCTAAACATTAATAGTATTTTATATATTTTAGTTTTTTATGATAAACATGGGCTCTTCTGCTGAACTAGCAAACTTAAATACAATTGGTTTTATGTCTATATGAAAAAAGCCAACAGACAATGAGCAAGTTATGTGGTGTGCTTTATACATGGAACAGCAGTAACTGACTGTATGTTCAAGGTACAGTACATCTCCTCACAAATGTCTTCTCCTCACAAATGTCTTCTCATACTGAGTTTCCATGTGTTTCAGAGTATTGAATTAAGCCTTTGACAGTGTCCTGAGAGCACAGAGATAACACTGGCCAGGGTTAGTTTGCTAAGAGCAGATGATATTTGACTTTAACCACAGAACAAACACATGGATGGAATATGGACCTCTTTTTATTTTTCATACCTACTTGCCAACTACTCAAGGTCATGATTTAAACTGGACCACACTGTTTGGAATTTTCCTCCTCAATGTTTTGGTCATTTTTATGAACCATAAAGCTAATTCCTTTTTTCTTCTTCTCTTTTTCTGTTTTCTCCAGTGTGCCGAATTGCTTGCCACAAGAAATGTGAAGTCAAGGTAAGAGTCATAACAATTTTTTTAATCTCTCAAGTGTTTTGAAAAAAACTCTAGATGCTTGTGTCCACATGTAAATGGGTGTGTGAGACAGGCTCCTAGATTCTTTCCCTTTAAAATTCATGTAAGCTTATTGGGAGGAAATATTATGTTAAGGTGGAGTCAGCTTCTCCTCAGCATGCAGATGTTGAGGTGGGTGGAGTTTTGGGAGTTTATCTTCTGCATAAAAATCTTAAGAATGTCTAAACAAGTGCTCTTCGTACCAGAATGTGTTTATACTGGATGAACTCTTGCATCTTGGAGATCGTCGGTGTCTAAAAATAAAAGACCTCTGGACGGAGATGTCGCTTGATTAATTTTGTAAAGAGCACAAACGGGAGGAAAAACAAAGTGGAGCTGGTGTTTCTGCAGGATCGTTAGAGAGGGATAGTTGTGTGTTTTGTGTGTGCAACTGCCATGTAGGAGGATTTACACACAAGTATCAACACACACACACACGTGCACCTATACAATATACTGTACGTACACATGCTTCATCTGGTATCCATTATTGAAATGGGTGCTGCTTGCCAGCTTTGCCCACTCCCTCTTTTACTCACAGGAAATGCCAGGGGTGCAGGGCAGACAGGCCATACTAAATATGAGGGGTGGGCTTTGGACCTTGTAGGACAGGCCTGAACTTAGACAAAATTACAAGTCTTGTTGCTCATTTCTCCTCATGTTGCAATTTTAACCACTGAAACTACCAATTGGTTTGAAAGATTGAATTAATTAATTCACCCAAATGACTGAAAAACATTTTCTTTTTTTAAGGACGGGGTAGAAAGCCCTGCAAGTTTATTTTGAAATGTTAAAATTTCACAAAATTAAAAAACACAAAATAAAAACCCTAATAATTTCAATATAAATGCAAAAGATATGCATGTGGATACGTGTCCATTT